TGAATATTCCAAAGTGAAGTAAACTTCAACGGATTTCCCCTGCTCAGGGAGTAGGGAGCAATGGACACTGTGTAGGGACCATGTCAATCGGAACACAGTTCATGCACGGAGCTCACTTCTAACGAGATGATCTGAATCAGGTGTGTTAACAGAGAGAGACGTGCAAAACATGCAGAGCGGGTGTACGCGAGGACTGGAATTGAGAACCGCGGGTCTAGAACAATTCTTACAAATATAACACGACGTAGCTGGGCGCCGCGGACAGATGCCGAATGGCGCTGCCGGTGTGCCTACACTCATAGAAAATAATGTATTTGAATTTTAAAGACGTGGACTGACGCTGCGCTTCTCGTCCGGTGCGCGACTGCCTGAAACGCTGTTTTTTTTCACCTCCATACCCAAACGTCTTTGTTTGGGCTTCCGAAAGCGGATGATGTCAGGAAACAGTGGTTGCAATTTACTTTTTAACTCTGTTCCTGAACATTATAACCCCAATTTGCTAGCGCATTTTACGCATTTTACTGAGGACAGCTTCCACATCACCAGTGAGTAGTGCCGGATTCGCCCAAAGCAAGACGGAGCCCTGGGGAGAAAGGTATTTTAATCATGTAAATTATGTGAAAAATCATGTGTTTTTCGAACCACCAAGCATGAGAGCATGTTCTAGTACACCCCCAAAACAAAATCAAGACTTTGTAAAAGAGCATAATAGGACCCCTTTAAATAGGAAAACAGTGTGTCAATAATGCAAAATGACAATAGTAAACACTCAATTTTCAGTTAAAGGCAGTTTATCATTGAATGCAGTGATTTCAGAGATGAAGTCATTTTTATAAACATGCCTTAGGAAAAAATAAAACATTACTGCTGTGCAACTTGAGACAAAACAACGGCACTGACTTATTTTAAGATCAATCAGTGTAAGTTTCTTTCAGTTGAAACAGCTCAGACTTACATTTTAGTCTGGGACTAGGCTTAACTGACATCAAGGGCTGGATGGTGATAATTGTTTTTAAATAAAACTGAGATTATGTTTTTTTGGTGCAGTTGGAAATCAAACCACTATAAATTCTATTCTTGGCTGAGCATAATAAAGCAGTGGTGAAAAATCTGACTCAGAATTCAGATTTGACAAGCAAATCAATTCTGTGGTCAAATCCTGCTTTTTTAATTTGAGACTTTTAGCAAAGATGAAGCCCTTTCTTTATTTTAGAGACCTAGAGATAGTTATTCACGCTCTTATTTTTTCAGGTTTAGACTATTGTAATACTGTCTATATGGGAGTTGGTTCAAAATGCGGCTGCGAGATTGCTGACGTGATCATATTGCTCCTATCCTGTCTTCTCTCAAATGCTTGCCAGTTTGTTTCCAGATTGAATATAAACTTTTATTGTTTGCTTTTAAATCTCTGAATGGGTTGGCACCAAAATACCTGGAGACATTAGTGAACCAGCATCCCTCTGTTAGGCCCCTGAGATCCTCTGATCAGTTTCTTTTAGTGGTTCCCAGATCGTGCTTTTTCGGTTGCTGCCCCCAAACTTTGAAACTCTATGCCTCTATGTATCAAATCATCTCTAGTTTTAAATCTTTGTTAAAAGCTAATTTATTAACTATGGCTTTTAAGTCCCCATGCTATTAATTCATAGGCGTGTGTTTGTTTTATGTTTTCTTGTCTAGTGTTTGTTCTATGTTTTTTTCTGTGTAATGGTTGATTCCTTTGCCTATTCTTATTATTTTCTTTTCTTTTGATGTGCAGCACTTTGGGCAACCTCGGTTGTATTGAAATGTGCTTTATAAATAAAAATATAAATACAAAATACAAATACACAAAAGCTGTCAGGAACATGTCAGGGTCACATTTCACCTCAAAACCAAAATAAAGAACCAAGAAATAATATTTTACTTAAACTATAGCCTGTTTTAGGACCATTAATATGTTTTTGCATTATGACATTATTTTTAATTATAAAATATGCATATAAAAATGCATTGTTGTAATGAGAATTTTGGGGAAAATGTGCTTAATTGTCTTGAAAATAATGTCATAAAAGTGTTATAATGCAAAGTGTGTGTGTGTGTGTCAGGGTTTTCTCTCTCTCTCGCTCTCTCTCTTGTTACGACCCTATTGTTTTGTTGTGTTTTGTTCTGCTGGTTTGTGTGTGTCTGCCCAGGTTGCTGCTGATTGGTTCCTGCAGACTCATTGATGTCGTCCTCTGATTGGTCTTCTCCCCCTTAAAAGAGATGACAGCATTTCCTTCAAGGGGGGGTGTGGTGCTGGCGGTGGTGGCCATTTTGTGAACCATGCTGTTTGTTGGTGCAGTGCTTGTGCTGTTTTACCCCATTTGTATGCTTAGAGAGATTGTTTGGATATTCATTGTTTTGTGTAACGGTAATCTGGCTTACCCGACCCTTGCCTGTTGTACGATTTTGATTCTGGATTCTCCCTCTGAACTTGATGTTTCTTTGTAAATATTTATTGTGAATATTGTACATAGTTATTGGGAAAGTAAGGAGTCAGACGCCATCTTTTGTTTTTGTAACATTTGGATCTCTGTTTTTGGATTAGGTAGTTAGGTTAGAGAATTGTTTTTTGTTTGTTTCTTTATTTTGGATAGGTAATTTAGAGGGTTAAATATTTAGAATGTTTTGTTTATTATTTTGGCACCATCGGCTCCTGAAAGTGGACTCCTAAATAAAAATTCAAAAGTAGTTGATTGTTCACACTCGTTTTTTTTCCCATGTTGTGCTCTACCCCTAGACGGGGCGTAACATGGAAATTGGGGGCTCGTCCATTTCGTTCGTTCTGGTTGGAGGTAGTGAGGCGTTTATTTATTCTGTTGTGGTTTCTCTTTGACTGGGATTTTTCTTCTACTCGAATACTTGGAGTGATCATTTGAAAACTCTAGAAGAAGTGTTTACCAGATTTCGAGATGCTAATCTAACACTTAATCTAGCAAAATGTGAGTTTTGTCATGCAACCACCACTTACTTAGGCAAAGAAGTTGGTCATGGTACTGTTCGCCCTGTGGAAGCCAAGGTACAAGCCATTGTTGATTTTCCTGTGCCTAAATCAAAAAGAGATCTTAAACGATTTCTTGGGATGGCCGGTTACTACCGGAGTTTCTGTAAGAATTTCTCTGTTGTTGTGAAACCCCTCACAGATATCCTTCGCAAAGATGTCAATTTCAAGTGGAATGATAACTGTCAGTGTGCAGTTGTTTCTTTGAAGAGTCTGTTATGTAGTTCTCCTGTTCTAGCTGCTCCTGACTTCAGTCGACCCTTCAAACTTGAAGTGGATGCCAGTGGAAATGACAAATGATTCATAACAAAAGTAATTAAAATTCAAGTAAAATTAAAAATTTCAGTATATGTATATATATACACGCACACACATAGATGAAATATGACTTAGACATGTTATTGCAAGGTACTTGAAGAACTCGTTTGAAAGTATGAAAGTAAGAAAAACATGAAACTACCATGATACATGTCCACAAAACATGACAATCCCATGGTACTGTTCAGTAGTTTATTATTAGTTGAGATCTCCAGCAGATTAACAGGTGATGTAGGAAACTCTTCAGGTGTGGGTGAGAGACGCAGTCAGTCGTGAGCGGCCCGTATGGCACAGATTCCCAGAATGCCATCTGTTATCTCAGCATCAGAGTCTCTCTGTCCTCATGACCGCTGCTGGAGTTACAACTGTGATCAAATGTAACGGCATAATGTGCTTTCTGGAGAAATGTCATTTCCAAGTGTGTTTCCTGTGCTTTCACATCATTGCAGTTGAGTAGTGTTCAAACATTTGAGTAG